GACCGCCTTTTTTTGTTTTATTTGGCAAAATGTTCATTTAATTTGTGTTTATCTGAATGTGTTCATTATTATTCCTCCACTAAATGAAAAAAGTCCTAATTTATTATTTTCTAGAGACTATTAATAACAGGAGGTGAAATGCGGCTCCAGACGAGCTTTGAATGTGGTGATGTCATCAGTACTCTTCCCGTTCTGGCTGTGACATCACAGCTTTTATTCTATAATGTTTATTTTCTCCATGTCGGTCAGAACCGATCAGAACCAAAACATTTAGCAGCTGGAATGAATAAAATAGTTTTTATAATCCAGTGACATCATATGTTTAGATGTTTCCTATTATCTCTGATGTTTTATAAACTGCATGAGGCTTTTTAAACAGAGATCAGCTCTAGTAGGATGCATGTTTGGACCGGTTCTGGCCCGAGATGACTGGACCGGACCCACTAAAGCTGATTAACCAGAACCACCTGTGGACCTGGAGCTGGCTGTGAGGATGAGGAGAGTTAATCAGTTCAGGAGAATCCGCCCGGAGAGTTTTATGTCAAATCTTTATTAGACAGGTTCTGATCCCGCCACCCCTGCAGGGTTCTGGTTTCCCTCCTGCAGATCCAACGATGCTACGTTCTACAGAGCTAGAACCCAACAGAACATTCTAAGGTTCTGTTCAGGAGCAGAAATCAGCACCACGGACTCAGAGGCTTTGATAAAAAACAGTTTTCTGTCAGTCTGCCTTTATTAGTGGGACGAGCAGCAGGCGGTTCTGGATCAGAAGTAGTTGACGACTCTGCGGATGGACTGGATGTTGGGGTTCTGGGCCTGCCACTCGGTCGGGCTGCAGTAGTTCCCGCGCTCCACGATGTACATCCGGCCCCGGAAGTTCGGCTCCTCGTACATCACCCATCTGGACCGGAGGGAGGAGAAAGCGGGTCAGAAACAGAACCGGCTCAGGACGTGCTGACGGGTTCAAACAATAGAACATTAAGGCTTTGACCCGGTCTGACCTTCCAGAACCAGAACCTGCTTAAGTGTGTTCGCGTGTTTCAAACTCAATCTTTTCAAGATGGTTAAACATAAATGCTGCTCTCCGCATCATCGTCCGCCATGGTTGTTGTTTTTCTTGCTGCTTCTTTACAGCAAGACCCAGAATAGCGACGTTTGTCGGGTATTAATGGCGTTCAGGTGGGATGAACGCGACCTGCGTTTTTGAACAGGTCGCATTCATCCCACCTGAACGCCATTAATAGGTCGCGTTTGAAGAGATCAGATTCGTATCGGATTCAGGACCACAGAGCACGTTATGTCGCATTGGAAAACATCGGATCTGTGTTGTTCGGACCGCCATGAAAAGATCAGATCCAGGTCGGATACGGGCAAAAAAATCGTTTTTAAGTGACGTCAGGCTGCGGCGTGATCGTAGCCTAAGTTACCGCCTGGTTTCAGTCACATGTTCTAACGCCGGGCTAACCAGTGGGTCCTACAGAACCAGGAGGTTCCGTTTCATCGCCACATCAGACCATCTCAGAACCATCAGTGCTGGACCCAGCAGAACCAGTCGGGTCCAGAAACCTTTGGTTTCAGGTCATGGTGACCGAGAGCAGTCGGACTGATCCAGACGGACTGATCCAGAACCGCCCACGGTTCTGGATCAGTCCGTCACAGCGGAAGGAATCTTTTAGTGACTCCTGAATCAGAACTTTCAGGGTTCTGTAGAACTGAACCATCTCATCTGGGTCAGATGTTTCCCAGCAGAACCACAGGAAGTGGGTCAGGTTCTTAGCTCCGCCCACTCTAAGGTTCTTCAGGACTAAGATCAGAACTCTGAGGCGGACCCTACAGAACATGGATCCAGTTGGTTTACGTCCTGTAGTCAAACACAGCATGATGCTGCCACCGCTGTACTCCACAGGAGGACATCACGTCCAAATATGGACATGGCTTCGTCCTCTCTGGTGACATCAGTGATGTCACAGCAGGAAGTAGAGGTGAAGCGTTTCCTTCCTATACCTGGAGACGTGACGCCGTTCGACTCAAACGCCCAATTATCTCCTATAATTACAGTGACGTCGTAAACGTCGGCGTCTCCGCCTGCTGCGTTGGTCAGAGGGTCCATCAGGAACCCTCTGAAGAACCCAGCTGGTACCGGTCCGACCGCAGTGGGTGGAGCTTCAGGAGAACCTTCATCTCTAAGAAAAGAACGTTAGCAGGAACCAGGAAGAGGCGACGAGCTCCTGCCGGAACCCGATGAGCTGAATGGAGATCTGGGATCGTGCGTTTGGGTCGGACCGGTTCTGTTCTGATGGACCGAGATGTTCTGGAGAAGGTGCTGGACTCACGCTCCGTCTCCGAAGACCCTGACGGAGTTGATGCAGTTCTTGGAGAAGCCGCGGCTCTGCAGGAAGGGGCAGTCGTCGCAGATTTCCACGCACTGGCCGGAGAAGTTACAGGCCTCGAAGAGCTCGATGCGGTAATGTTCTCCATGCTGAGGAACACGGCAGAGAGAACACGGCTCAGTCAGATCCGATATGTGCAGAACATCTAGGTCCTTCTGACCCGGTGGACTCTAAAACCCGGTCTGGCTGCTTACCATGCGGATGGGCTTGCAGGATCCCATGTGGTCGTTGTGGGCGTTCCACCTCTGGAATTCTGGGTACTCTCCGTGCTCCAGGATGTACTGCTGGCCCTTGAAGTCGGGGTGGTCGTAGCAGATGAAGGCTCCGCTCTCCACGCGGATGGAGTTCACTCTGAGGACGGGGGGGAACAGGTCCAGCTTTTATTGTGAAAATCAGGAGGAAATGTGTTTGTTAGGATGTTCTGAAAGCTTCCAGCCGGTTCTTCACCTGTTCATGAAGCCGCGGTCCTGGAAGTTATCACAGTCCCCTCTGACCTCCAGCTTCCTGCCGGTGAAGCATTTCCCCTCGTAGAAGGTGATCTGCAGGAGGAGACGGTCAGAATGTCACTGAGACCTAAACCAAGATGGCTGTGAAGCTCAGAGATGGTCAGGACGGAGCAATGGCGACCTGTCAGGTCCAGGATGATGATGATGATGATGTCAGGACTTCATCCTGACAGCCTGTACTCATCTCCCACCTGAACCCACAGGCAGATATACATAGACACCACATTGGGCGCCATGTCTGCTCCATGACATCACCGCCATATTGTGTGTGGCAGAAAGTAGTAAAAGTCGATAAGAGAGGATTCCTC